AATGCTCAACCGTTAAGCCCGCCTACATGCATCATCTGCATCAGAGTTGATCAAACAGACATTAACCCTTTGCACGGATCACGTATTTGACAAAGATATTCTCTCTGAACTTAGCGGGAACTGCTCCCTGGGAATCTCGAATCTGTTATAAAGGGCCTCCAGGCCCTTACACCTATATAAAGGCATCACTTTTTTTAGGGAAGGTACGCACAATTCAACTCTCGCATACTCTAATCTTCTAGCATTCTAATTCTCTCTAAAACTTCCAACTCGCTGATTTAAACATTGGATTGCCCACCCCGAGTAAAACAACATAAGCACTCTAATATTGTTTCCCTGCAAGTTTCCTAAAAAAACTATACAGTTCGCCGTTAATTTAGCTGGACATCTGAGTTACCTTCTAACTCAGCAACCAAATCACCTTACAGCAAGGAATTCTCTAACTCGACTTCTAAGTGCTAACTACCAGATCGCACATCATCATTATACGTTAAAGGTAGTGCGCATTATTTTAAGTTGGAGCTCGATTGGATTGGGCTAGGGTGGCAAATTTTCAATCCAACCCACCCATTAATTAATTGGTTGGATTGAATCCATTTAATACTGGGTTATTAGCAGGATGATGAACCCAATAAATAGGTATTTAATGGGTTGGGTGAGCCAGATCACGGTTATCCAACCAGAAACCTATTAAATATTAACTTTTGCTATTTAAAGTTTTCTACTTTCCTCTGTCTTCCTTTTTCTCTCTCTGATTCAAAGCCCTAATCTGTCTCAGAATTTGAACATGCAGTCCGAGCTCCTACCATCAGCTCCTTATCTAGAGCTTGCTTTCTATTTGCCCTCTAGGACAGAATTTTCACTCTTCCTTTTTCTTCTATTTCTATTCCTTTTTGCTTGACTTCCGATGGAAGAGTGATCAATGGCAGCCTCTTCATCAAGAGGACAGAGTAGCTTTCTTTTTGATTACCGGAAACCTCAAGCCCAGTAGATTCATCTTGCTCATGCACTTCTTCGACTTGTCATTTTATGGTTATGCAATTATTATTATGTTTTTCATTTCGTATGTATGTTTACAATGTTTGTAATATTTTCTCATAATTTTTGTTATTTTTTGTTTTCTATGTTTGCTTATAATCTTTGTTATATTTTTTTATAATTTTTGTTTTTAAATTTTTTTATGTTTTTATAGTTTTTATATCTTCCTATAATTTTTTTACGTTTTGAATTTTCTATAATTTAAGTTATATTTTTATTTAACTTATGTAATGTATTGGGTAGGTTGGGTTAGGTCAAGGCAGATATGAGTTGAACTCAACTCATTTAATTTTCTCTAAACGGGTTATTAACAGGTTGGTGGGTTAGACGGATTGAGTTGAAACTCAACCCAAACCTGCCTAATTGCCACCCTAGATTGGGTTTGGCTTGGCTTGGGCTACCCTTAGGCATAACCCAAAGCAAACCAGGACCCAAAGTTCAAGGCCAATGGCTAGTTTGAAATTAATTTATGCTTATGCAAAATTATGACTGGCTGCAAGTCAAGCCGGGTTAGGTCAGATTGAGGCCAACCCTAGCTCAACCCTAAGTTATAAACCACCAACCCTAAGCCTAACCCTATCTAAATTCCTCAACCCTAACCCAACCCAACCCAACCTTATTGGCATCCCTTAAAATCTCATAAACTATTTGATATCAAATCTCATATATATTGAGTTAAGACTATAGTTTATTATGAGTTATGACTTATGATAGATTTTTTATGGCCTATAAATATTAGAGAGGAGATAAAGAATAACATATTCAAAAAACATAAAATATGTTTTTAAGGTTTCAGTCTTTTCATTTGGGATTAAGTGAAGTGATTATCTTAAATGAAAGACATGATAGTATATAGTGAGGGCTATACAACTATCATACATCTAAACAAATCAAATGATATATAATATATATAACATATATTTATATATGACATATACTATAGAGACGGATTTGGGTTGGGTTGGATTGACCCCTAACCAACCCGAAATAAAGTTGGATTCATGAATTTCAACCCTAACCTGAGCATCAACTCGACCTAGCCCAACCCGACTTTTTCGGGTTGGGTTTGGGCCAACCCGACCCAAGTTGCAGCCTTAGACAGTGCAAATGATTTGAGTGAAAAATCTGGCTCATTTTTGTTTTAAATTTAAGCTTATACAAATGAAGTAAATTAAGACATGAAGCAAAATAAAGTAAAAGAAAGTCAAACCAAAATTAAGGCATGCACTCCCATGCATTTGTACTAGTGCAAATGAAATAGCACTGCAACCAAACACAGCCTAAGGATTAGTTTGGAAAGAGTACAAATACAAGTATGTGCATTACATACAATACATACAAAATAATATAAAGTACAAGGATTTAGGCTCTTTTGGAAATTGTGCAAATAGATATATATTCACTGCAAAATCTTTCTAAACCTTGTATTTGTATTGTACATATTTGTATTTGCACTCTTTTTGAAGGAAAAAAAAAACTTCGTATTCTAAACTTGGATATGCTATTAAATTGCATTTTTTGAATAAATTTTCAAAATTACACAAATGTAATAAAATTTCTAAAATTTTCATAAAATTACATTTTGGAAAATCAAAGATGATTTAATGTACTTTTAGAAATTTACCATGTGTATATCATTTTGATCAATTTTGTCATCAAATTTAATATTGGACTGATGGGGCTTGGGTGCCTTGCCTTGAACTGGCCTAACACTAGAGATGGGGTGGGGAAAATTCAAGGATTCCCTATCCTTGATGAAGAGTGGGTGCCTTGCCCTGAACTTGTCCGACACTGAGGACAAGGCGGGAAAAATCGAGGATTCCCCACCCCTAACGGGGAGTGGGTGCCTTTCCCTAAACCCGCTTGACCCCGTGGGATGAGGACAAGATGGGGTAGAGTGTATTGACTATGGAGTGGGGACAAGGATGGGGTGCCCCACCCCATTGTCATTCCTATATAATTGTTAATTATTATTGAAATAAATAAAAATGTTAGCTTTTGTAATTATTTTTATTTTTTTAAAGTCAATCAAAATTTCATTTAAAAATAATGAAAATAATAACAGTCATACTACAAATGATTAATAAAATTAAATTTATTAAAAATATTTATTCATATTAAATTAAAAATAATTATTTTTAATTTAAAATGAAAATGTAATTATTAAAATGTTAAATATTAACAATAACCTGGATACTTTTAATTAATTAACAACAAATTTTGATTATTAATTTATCAATTAATCAACAGTATATAAAATTATTCAGTCATCCAAAATTTCCCATACATCACACGGGTTCCCGCTAGTTCAATATATAGTCTTACAATCACATAATCATATTAATCATTTTTTATAAAATTGTTACTGGGGCCAGCTCCAGTCTATTGAAGTTGTGATAGGGTCTATGAGACATTGAGACTATAACAAAATTAATGAATTTGTTCATTCATCTTGAACTTCTTACCAAGCATTCTTCTTGCATTCACAAGACTGTCTCTCCCTTTTATCATGGACCATTCTTCTGTTGATGCAGAGCTTCTCAATGAACCAGGGGCCGCTTCATAACTCCTGATGGCTTGGCTGATGCAGACCTATATTAATGAGTTTAATTTTTAAGGAGGTATAGAGATTCTTTAATGGTTGAATTTGAAATTGAGTTGATTATTATAGTTCTGAATATTTTATTTATTTAATTCTTTTAATAGTTTATAATATCACCTATTTATCTGTGCAGATACTTTTTTTAGTAGAGGTCATAAAAATTAAATTTAATAATATAATATTAACTTTTATCTTTATTGTTTAAGTATGTTAGTACTATATAAAATGAATATTAGTCCTAGATTCCACAGAAATCATAAAATAAAAATTAAATTCAAATACTATAGTTAATACTTACACATATGTGCTCCTACACTAGTAGATAAGAAGACAAAGCATTGTTTAGCCACTTCAGCTGTTATCAAACCACTTCCAAGAGCAAGGCTAACAAATAACGATCAATGCAAACACAAGTAAGTGGGACCCATGAAAAAGAAATAAAAACCCTTTCTGTTTCAGGATCCATTGTTTGGTTTATGCTTTCAGGAATAGTATTATTATTTGTCAAATGAAATATTTAATCTATTAAATTCCTTAATTACTGAGGTGTTAGGAGTGATCATCTTTTAACTGTTTAATCCACCAAAAAATCTTCTAAAAAAGATTTATCAAACAGCACCTTAATTTGGATGTAGGTCATTGGTGAAGCCTCCGCCTCCCCCAGGCCCACTGGCCCGGCCCAAACTAGGGAAAGTCAGGGAACGGGGGTAGTGTGTTGAGGATAGACGTGGATGTAGGTCATTGGTGATTACCTTGGTCCATGTTTTCACAATTGTGCATAAAAAAGGGTACTGATATAGCAAGAGGATGCCCTGTTTTTGACTTGATCACATCCTCCTCTTATCCAGCCGGATTATTAGAAACTGAACCCNCACCCCACCCACCCTCTTCCACTGACATGTTCTCCTCGTAACCTTTCCATGATTCTATCCGAAAGAAAGACGAATGTTTGAAAATCTAATCCACTTTTGTTTCTTTACATGGATTGCCAGGTGTATATTTTTTCTGCCTTCAGATCGGAATCCAAGAGGATGTCATTTTTTCACATTTGAAAACCTAATCCACTGTTGAAGTGCTCCCCTCAGTCTTTAGTGGCAGGGCCTACTCCTGGAAGTGCGTACCTCTCCTTTAAATCCTATTCACTGATCACTATATTTTGCCACATGGGTTGGCACTTTTCAGCCTTGAGATTGGTATCTTATTCATATGCTCCCTTCACCGGTAAAATGCTGCCCATCATGATCATCTGATTGCAATCCATTATGGGCCAATTAAATTAATTGGTGGAACTGAATACTCAGTAGTCAAATTGAGTTTCAGACCGTAAGGAATTCACCAAAGTCGTTATCCAAACACAAAGAACTGAAGTACACTACTTATCCGATTAATCCATTTACAATTGTGTGTTTAATGAACTTCCTCTTTACAAAAAAAAAAAAAAAAGTCTAACCCATCTCATTAAGAGGAGTCTCTACTCTCTACTCTCTACTCTCCGATATTTCCCTTTCTTCAAAGTTTTATCTTCTCTTTTGTGCTATAAATAGCTTTCCCACCCTCAACTCTAACAGAAAAAGAACAAACCCCATAGCTGTTCCTGTAAGGGTTCTAATCTTATAACGACCCCACCGTCTACTGAAAACCCCTTCAATTCCTTGCGATTCTTCGGAGAGAAAGAAAAGAAATGGCATCGGCAGAGATGATCACTGTTAGAGGCCAAGGTGGTGGTTTTCTGCTACATTTGATCCGGGGCCGATGGTTCATGGTGTTCGCCTCCTTCTGGATCATGGCCGGTGCTGGAGCTACTTACCTCTTCGGTATCTACTCCAAAGATATTAAAGCATCTCTTGGGTACGACCAGTCCACCCTTAATTTGCTGGGCTTCTGCAAGGACCTTGGCGCTAATGTTGGCGTCCTCTCTGGCTTGATTGCGGAGGTGACGCCCACATGGTTCGTGCTATTAGTCGGTTCAGCCATGAATTTTGCTGGCTACTTCATGATATGGCTCGCTGTCACCGGCAGGATCGCCAAGCCGCAAGTGTGGCAGATGTGCCTGTACATCTGCATCGGTGCCAATTCACAGAATTTCGCAAACACTGGTTCGCTTGTTACCTGTGTCAAGAACTTCCCTGAGAGCCGAGGCATCATGTTAGGTCTGATGAAGGGGTTCGTCGGCCTCAGCGGAGCCGTCATGACGCAGCTTTACCTTGCCATTTACGGGAACGACTCCAAATCTCTTATCCTCCTCATTGGGTGGCTGCCGGCCCTGATATCATTCATCTTCGTTTACTCGATCCGGGTGATTAAGGTTGTCAGACAGCCCAATGAGGTTAAGGTCTTCTACCACTTCCTCTATGTATCGATCGCACTGGCTTTGTTTCTCATGGTCATGACGATCCTTCAGAAACAATTTGTTTTCTCCCACGCCTTGTACTGTGTGAGTGCTACTATTGTTTGTGTACTGCTTTTTGTGCCCCTTGCCATTGCAGCTAGAGAAGAGTTCGCCCTAAGGAAGCTAAAGAATCAACCTCCAACAGAGGTCACCGTCGAGAAACCTCCGGTCGTGGAGGAATCAAAGCCGGCGGCATTGCCGTCAAATTCTTCCACCCAGTTAGAAGAAAAGCCCAAGGGTTCTTTCCTCTCAAGCATTTTCAAGAGGCCAGAAAGAGGTGAAGATTACACCATCTTGCAAGCGCTCCTGAGCATTGATATGTTGATTCTGTTCATGGCGACGCTGTGTGGGCTCGGTTGCAGTCTGACGGCAGTGGACAACCTGGGTCAGATAGGAGAGTCACTGGGCTACCCCACCCGTGTTATAAGCTCCTTTGTGTCACTGGTGAGCATTTGGAATTACAGTGGCAGAGTGTTTGCAGGTTTCCTCTCCGAATACTTGATTAGGCTGAGATTTCCTCGAACACTTATGTTGACGCTCGTCCTTCTCTTATCTGCTGTTGGTTACCTCATCATCGCCCTCCCTTTCCCCGGCTCCGTCTACATCGCGTCGGTGATCATCGGCTTCTGTTTCGGTGCACAACTGACGCTCCTGTTTGCCATCATATCCGAGCTCTTTGGCCTGAAATACTACTCAACATTGTTCAACTGTGGCCAATTGGCTAGCCCCCTTGGGTCTTACATACTGAACGTAAAGGTGGCCGGACTCTTGTATGACAGGGAGGCATTGAAGCAGCTTGCAGCTAAGGGCCTCACCAGATCATCAGTGAAGGAACTGACTTGCATTGGGAACCAATGCTACAGGTCTACATTTCTTGTACTAACAGGGGCATCACTGGTCGGAGCTCTTATTTCATTTATTTTGGTATTGAGAACACGGGAGTTCTACAAAGGAGACATCTATAAGAAGTACAGGGAGGAGGCCAAATCGGCGGAGACACAGATGGCTGTTTCCTCTGTGAACGGAGAACAAGGCTTAAAGGAGAAAGCTGTAGACAGGTAGACATGAGTTTGGAGGAGAAGAGGGAAGTGGGCACATGGAGTTGCAGTTACAGAGGAGAAAAAAAAAACAAAAAACAAAAAACAAAACTATTTTGGTTTCTTTTAGCTTTTTGACTTATTTTTCTATTGAGAAGAAAGTGATGGAAATTATAATTTGTAGTTGGCCCCAATTTGCAAAGGAAAACAACTTTTTTTTTTCTCTTGTTTGGAATTCAGTCAAGGCCTCACGGGTTGTATGGTTGGACTGACAGATGTTTTTGACTGTTTCTGAGTTTTTTTGGTGGCACACACCAAGGATCATATATCAATTATCATTTTAACTACTAAAATAATCTTCACATGGGATGGAGCATGGACTGTGAGAATGACTCCTTTTCTGATTGGATTGGAGAAGAGAGTCAATTCATCCAAGCAAAGCCACCAAGTAAGACAGAAACTTGATACTGGGAAGGAGAAGATGAACTCAGAGATCTCTTGCTTAGAAAGCAAATCGATGCTTTCCTTCTTCATTTGTATTTGGTAGTATTATTATCCAACTTGTCCGGTAGCACATATAAAGAGGCAATTTTTAATTAATGGATCCTGGTAGATAAATTAATGCTATATTTAAAATTTCAAATAATTCATATTCAAATAAACTAAGGCTCTGTTTTGATATTCTTTTGCTTTTGAGCTTTGAGCTGTAGAAAACAAAATTGAGCCAAACAGCTTGTGTTTTGGTAAGTGTTACTTTTGTAAACACTATAACCCGAAGTCAAGGAAGATACTTTTAAACCCCCAAAGCTTAAAATTAGTGCTTTATGATTTTGGGCTTTAAAAGCACAAACTTTGAAGCTTATCCAAACACAATTTAAATAGTTCATCTTGGGATCTAGTCAGATTTTGTATGCAGGTACTTCCAGTTCATGCTTGGTTAACTCGATATATCAAGATAAACACTGATGCAGGTGCCATTAAAAATGAAAGTTTTTTCCTTTAGTTTCTGGGTGAATTTTTGCTGGCTGCAGTAGGTGGCTTTTTTTCTTTTATTCCAGAAGTGGAATTTTGGAAGATGAATTTAAAGGGATCCATAAAGAACTTCTGCTTGCCTCACAAATGATGATGGAAGAAAGTAATTATTGAAGCAGATTTTCTAAGTGCCATGTCTGTTATAAATCAGAACCGATCTTTTATTCACTGGTTTTGCTGGGATATTTTTAGATTGTATAGCAGAGACTTGGGATCAAATCCGGGACCGGGGGAATGGGGGATGATGGGCTACCCCCGTTGTGTAGCCCCATGAACCAAACAAAGATCGTAACTATTCTCTGTTTCTTTGTTCCAGAAAATGAGTTGTTGTAAGGCCATGTTTGGTTTGAGAACTCTCGCCCCAATTTTTCTGTTCCACTATTATTTTCTATCAAACCGAAGACAGCCTAAATGTGTTGGATTCAAATCGAAATATTTCTCATGGTGCAACACCGACACGTAGAAGAATGATGTAGCGAGTGGAACTGCTAAAATTTAAAAGTTTTAATAGAAAGACAAAAGGCACCAGCTTTAAACACATCACATGGGTCCGGGTAAGCACAATGAGTGAGAACGTAACAGCGGTGTGATACATGTTCTAGTTAGTGTCTTTCATCCAAATATTTTTGTTTGTGTTAGATAGAAATTATCTATTATTTTATTATTTTTGTCAAAATAATTAAAAATAAAAATAATGAAAAGAAAAAAACTAAACATGTTGAGAGTTGGGATTCATTTACATTTTCTTTTTTTATTATTTATTATTTTTAATTATTTTAACAAAAATAATAAAATAATGAATAATTTTTATCTAACGAAACAAAAACATTTGAATGAAAGACACACTAACTAAACATATATCACACAGCTATTATGTACTTACTCATTGTGCTTACCTAAGGTGCCTACTACATCCAGACCCCAAAAGAGGGTGATGTGGGGGAAGGGGAATAGCGCCACAAAAGTCAACTTAAAAATGAATCAGTCTTTTCGATTCTTTCCTTGTTTTATGGGATTTTGAACAATCGACCATCAAACCATTATGTCAAGTTGACACAAGGAGATAAGCAATATTGCATCTTTACCCAATTATAAAGATGAGTAAGAGTTATAGTTCATATATATCAATTTCACACAACACATGCATAAAATGGTAAAAATTTTGATTTAACAATCAATCAAATTATATATCTAAGAAGAGTTCTCGAATCAAATTAATTACAATGCACTTCCTACTGTTACTACTAACTTTTAAGTAACAAAATTCCGTAGTGTAGACCCTAAGTACTCCATATTGTAGTGACTAATATGACAATTCCTTTTATTTTCTCTACTTCTCTCCAACTTCGTCATCCCTTTTTCAGCCACTTCGAGAATGTTAGCTCTTGCTCGACAGCAATCTCTGATTCTCAAATATCACAATGGAGTGGAGCTCTTCACCTCAGGCTTGAGCCCAAGCCCGGTCCAATCATCGGGCCTAGATTATGAGCCTAGATTTATATAGTCTGAAACACAATTTAGAAATTGGATAAGAAGATTTTTTGTATTTTTTACTCATAAATGACCTCAAAATCCAAAAATGTGGAAGATCTCACTATGGTTTTTACAAAGAGAATAGGAACAAAGAAAAAATAAATTATATATTTGTTTATTATATAAAATATGTTTTTATTATTTAAATATTAAATATTATTAGGTTGGGATAGTAGATAATAAAATTGATTTGTTTATATTAAATGACCCCAAAACCCAAAAATGTGGACGTAAAGAGAATAGAAACAAAGAAAAATATATTATATATTTGTTTATTATATAAAATATATTTTTATTATTTAAAATATTAAGTATTATTAGGTTGGGCTCTGGTCGAGCTTTCTTGAGAAAGCCCAAACCCAAGCCTACGGACCCAATATCATGTCCAAGCCAAGCAAAGGATGCATCAATTCATTGTATTTAAGAACAGGTTCCAAGGGTAGATCCTGGAACCGAATTCAAAACTACCAAGGCTAGAACCAACCATGGAACTAATATTCATTGTGTAGGTTCTAATTCCACCAACCCCTAACTACAAGGTGGGTTCCAGGTTCTACCTTGAAATCGAATCAAACCAAACCGACCCATGCTTATCCCTATGGGCTACCCAGGGCAGATTTTGGTGGACAAAGATCAGTGGATGTGTGAATAGCAGGAAGTATCTGCTCCCAGCTAGACCTGTTCACGGGCCGAGTTTGAGCTTTGGGCCCAGTCCCATTCCAATTTTGACAAAAGCCAAGCCCGAGCCTGACCCATGAACAGGTCTAATCCCAGCCATGTGGGACTGGAACCCCAATTGCAACCATGCCTTCATAGGTAGAAATGCCACCTTGGCATACGCCTTCCTCGTTTGAAACTAGAGCTAGAGTTAAATTTCTTTTTAGTTTGTTTCTGCACTGTGTACAAATTTTTGGTAAAAGGCTTAAACATCCCTTTGAGGTTTTTCATTAATACAAAAGCCTCTCCTCTATTTTCAAATTAGACTAAGACCTCCTCGGTCAGACTAAAGTTTAAGAGAACTATCGGAAAGTCTCTTTTAGCCTTATTAGTTCATCAAATTTTCAAATAGTGGAACACAGCATAGTTTGAGAGAGATACACACTCAAGTAAGACAACAGAGAGATGGCATGCCCACTATTCACCAACTTGTAGCAGATAGGTAGTGAATGGACCCACTCGAAACGGATATTTGATCTTTGGAGAACAGAGATCTCACATAAATTCAAAATCAAAGGATTTCAAGATGAGTTCCTCTAAGATTATGAAGCTCTTCTAGTCCAAGGTGATTATGCTTGCAGGTTGTATGAGTTCTTGCTATTTGCAATCGTTATTACACTGTTTTTTTTTTGAGCTATTTGTGTTGCAGGTTGCAAGAATTTCTCGTGTTCAAATTACATCGAAAATTAAAAAAAAAAATTATAAATTTAAAATAAATTTCTGTTTCTGGGGTTCTGATTTCCAAGCTTTGTGTGAGGTTTCTATTTTCAAGCACTCTGCAGTGCAAGTCTAGAGGTTCTTATTTCAGGGTGCACTTCTACCTTTTTTTTTCTTTCCCTCATCTTCTAACTTTTCCTTCCCCTTTAGTTGAATTGCGACCAGGTGGATAAGATTCCTCGAGTTAAGGGTGTTTGAGGCGATTGCCTGTGTAACCTTCCAAATGAATTAATCGGTCCTAGTTCATTCCTATCTTTTGCTTAACAAATTTGGTTGCAGATCGATCTGATGATATTTCATAACCATTGTCATTTCCCAGAGATATTATAGATATTTCCCACGACAATTAAAATGAATATTGCTGTATATATTATATAATATATGCAGCATACAATCTTAAGTTGCACTATATTAAGAGAAGACACAGAAGGTGCTTGAAAACCAGACCTTTGAATCAAGTAATAGACTCTGTGACTCATTTGGCTCAAAATCAAAGTCATTTAGGCAGTGTTTGGCATTGATGCTGTTTTCTGAGAAAACGAGGTCACATAAGCATTACATCAGAAAATTTCAGAAAACAGCATCTTATTTGGTACCATTTTGCCAGAAAAAAAAAAAAAAAAAAAAAAAATCTTGCTTCAAACCACATTTTGAAAATTGGGAAGTATGGTCTGAACAAACGTCAAATTCAATATTTTTTCAGAAAACAGCCCGTATCATTGTGGTATCATCTTGGATAATATGACCAATGCTGAAAACTTTTTTACAATACTGGCATCAAATAAATCCAGTGCTGTTTTCCCAAAAGACACCATATGTGACAGCATTATTTCTAAACAAAAAATAAACACTTACAACTCAAACAGACCCTGTTAGGACTTAAACTCTGAATTATCGATTAGTTAGTATGGCAAACAAGAAAATAATTGAGTAATATGTGAATTATAAAGCAAATAATAAGAGCAAAAGAAAGGTAAAGATGGCACCAGATTTACGTGGTTCGGTCAAAGAGACCTACATCCACGGGAGAAGAAATAAAACTTGTTTATTCATGTCTTTGATAAGAGAACTACAAACAGACCACCTTACTAGGGCCGAAATGCCTTTAACAAAGCCTTGAAGCACTCAAAAACATAGATGACTGCTTTGATCTGGTGTGAAAAAACCCTTAATGGCAACAGTGAAAAAGAAGAAAAAATACCGATCCCAAACAGAATAGGAGCAGATCTTGCTAGAAAAT